TGCTCCGCTGCCCGAGCCGGCCCCTGGCCGCGCTGCGGGACCGAGAGAGGCGTGAGGAGAGCCTGGGGGAATAACGTGCCTGCTTCCCTGGGCTCTGCTGAAGCTGAGTGCCGGGGTTAAAGACTGGTTGCCCGTGGAACGAAACAGAAATAAACATTTCCTGTTTTTTTTTCTTGCATCGTAACTAGGAGCGCACTGGAACCGTTTCAAAGTCTCTCCTAGCTGGGCTGCTCTTTGAACAGCGAGAGGAGATGGCAATCTTCCTTAGATAAGAATTTGCCTTTTCTGTCTTATTTTATATTTTTTACGTCTATCTCTCCTCCCAGACCATCATTGCTGTTTTTATTTACCTTTACTGGTACCATTCTGAATGCATTCGCTGGGTTTTTTGCTTCTTACGCCTGATTAGGTCAATCTGGTTTCCAACACGGACCTTTCCAAATCTGCACTGTTCTTCCCATGTCCGGTTTCTACATTTCACAACTCTGTTTTTCTCCTATTCCCTCAGCCTCTTCACTCTCGGCGTTATACCTTCAGCCATGCTGCCCCTGTTTTAGACGCATTCCTCTCCTTTTCACCAGGCAGCCTTTTCTCTCCTCCATCAAATCCACCTTTCTGCACGTTGCCGCCAGCAGTCCTTTCCATCTCTCTCCCTTCACCCAGGTTTCCTCGTGCCTCCCAATGCTCAGCTATTACCTAGCATGCTGGTTTGGCTTGTCTGACTTTGCTGGAAGCTCTTCTGGGCATGGACTCAATCTTATTTCAGGTTGTTAATGGGGCTGGAAACCCCTGATGGGAGGATGAATTTCAGGTTTCTGGGGCTGCACTGCAGAAATACAGCATCGCCCTGGCCAGGCGCCTGTTATGAGCTGCTGGGGGCACTGGCTTTGAGAGGGCCCGAACACTGCTGTGCTTTCGTACACACCGCTCTTGTGAGCTGAAATACTATTTTTTTAGTCCCTAAAGGCACTTTGTGTGTGAGGCGGGGGCTGCTGGGTGCTGGCACCAGAAAGGCACAGGGGTGGCCAAGTACTGGCTCTGCTCCGTTCGCGGGGCAGCCTGAGCAGCAGTGCGGTGCTGTGGCACGCTGAGCCCCTTGCCCGCTGCTCCAGGCCACGGTTCATGCCTGAAATCGGTAAATAACTGCCCCGGGGTAGCGCGG